AGAGACGGGGTTTCACCGTGTTAGCCAGGATGGTCTCGATCTCCTGACCTCGTGATCCGCCCGTCTCGGCCTCCCAAAGTGCTAGGATTACAGGCTTGAGCCACCGCGCCCGGCCCGATTGGCAGGATTATAAGGAATGACAAGATGTTAACGAAAGAGAGAATAGATGGCTAATTGTATTTTTGTTGTTTTTTTTTTTTGAGACGGAGTTTCGCTCTTGTTGCACAGGCTGCGGTGCAACGGAGCGGTCTTGGCTCACTGCAACCTATGCCTCCTGGATTCAAGCAATTCTCCTGCCTCAGCCTCCTGAGTAGCTGAGATTATAGGCGCCCGCCACCACGCCCAGCTAATTTTTGTGTTTTAGTAGAGACAGGGCTTCACCATGTTGGTCAGGCTGGTCTCAAACTCCTGACCTCAGGTGATCCACCCACCATGGCTTCCCAAAGTGCTGGGATTACAGGTGTGAAGCCCTGCACCCGGCCACCTAATTGTATTTTAAGAAACAACCCTCAGGTTTGAGGAACAGTTCTAGATTTCTCAAACCTAGAACTAGCTGTGATCCTCCAGCCTTTTTTTTTTTTTTTAGCATTATTTTTCCTACAATATTATCCATTCCTGTCCTCATTCTCATCTGTCCCTTCAGAATGCATTATCTAAATTCCCTTCTAAATATACCTATTCCTGCAAACAATTCAGCCTCAGTTCTTATTTCTTTAGCTCTTGGCCTAGTCCTATTAAAGCAGCTTTGGGTAAGATCTGCCAGAATGTCTTGTGGATGACTGATCATATAAGCAATTGTAATCTGTTTAGCAATTCTGATCCTAATCCCCTCTTGAGTGTCTGTTTTCCAGTAGTGCTTGGTTTATAACCATTTAGTGACGGTAGATCAATTTTACAAAAGGTCTCCTTTAGCTTTTCCTGTATATCTCCTCCATTTAAGACTCATACCATTTCTTAGAGAAACTTTAACAAGTATCATTTAGCATCTCCAGGTTTCAGTATTCATCTTATATACTTACTTTATTCTCTTTTACAGCATTATACTCTTCTTTTATTATGCTCTTGTTTTAGTATTTTGAGTCTGAAATTAGCATTTAGTGACGAGGTCTTTCCTTTGCCTGACATATCAAAGGATGATAGACATATACTTTGATCTTCTCATTTGAAAAATGAGTTCAATATCTAACCTAGCAGAGTTGGGATTGCATAATAAGAGATAATCTTTTTTTTTTTTTTTTTTTTTTTTGGAGACAGTCTCACCCTGTCGCCTAGGCTGGAGTGCAGTGGCGTGATCTCGGCTCACTGCAACCTCCACCTCCCAGGTTCAAGCAGTTCTGCCTCAGCCTCCCAAGTAGCTGGGACTACAGGCACGCATGGCTGATTTTTGTATTTTTAGTAGAGATGAGGTTTTGCTGTGTTGACCAGACTGGTCTCAAACTCCTGACCTCAGGTTATCCGCCTGCCTTAGCCTCCCAAAGTGCTGGGATTACAGGCATGAGCCACCGTGCCCAGGCTGATAATCTTTAAAAAGTACCAGCTGGGTGTGGTGGTCACGCCTGTAATCTCAGCACCTTGGGAGGTGAAGCGGGAGGAATGCTTGAGGCCAGGAGTTCGGGATCAGCCTAGCAACATAACAAGACCCTGTCTCTACAAAAAGTTTAAAAATTAGCTGGGTGTTGTGGCATGCGCCTGTAATCCCAGCTACTCAGGAGGCTGTGTTGGGAAGATTGCTTGAGCTTAGGAGTTTGAGGTTGCAGTGAGCTATGATCATACCACTGCACTTCAGCGTGGGTGACAGAGTGAGACTCTGTCTCAAAAACATTAAACTAAATAAATATTGAAAGTTAGGCCAGGGTGTGGTGGCTCACGATTGTAATCCCAGCACTTTGGGAGGCCGAAGGGAGCGGATCATGTGAGGTTGGGAGTTTGAGACCGGCCTGGCCAACATGGTGAAACCCCCATCTCTACTAAAAATACCAAAATTAGCCAGTCACGGTGGCACGTGCCTGTAGTCCCAGCTACTCGGGAGGCTGAGGCAGGAGAATTGCTTGAACCCAGGAGGCAGAGGTTGCAGTGAGCCGAGATTGTGCCACTGCACTGCAGCCTGGGTGACAGAGTGAGAGTCCGTCTCAAAAAAAAAGAAAAGAAAAAGACAAGAAAGTAAAAAAAAAAAAAAAAAAAAAAGTACCAGCACAGTACATGCTACACAGTAGGTGTTCAATGAGTCATGGATATTATTTTTCATTATTATTTATAGCATCAGTTTCTTAAATTCATTATTTAGTAGGGTTATGTTCAATGAAAAAA